GGGGGGGCTGGGAGGGCCCTGAGGGACCCCAGGACATGCAGGAGGGTCTGGGGGGGCCCTGAGGGACCCCAGGCCATGCAGGGGGGGCTGAGGGAATGTCTCCCCAGGCCCTGAGTGGGGACTGAGGGACCCCAGAGCCAGGAGGGGGGCTGAGGATCCTGAGCCCTCACCGGGAGATGGGGAAGATGGAACAGGGACCTTCCCCTGGGCCCTGAGGGGTCACTAAGGGGCCTCGAATGATGGAGGGAGCTGAGGGGAGAGCTGGGAGACCCCAGCCCTCAGGATAGGGTGAAAAAAGGGGGTTAGGGGGCAGCTGAGGGACCCCGGGCCCTGAGAAGCTGAGGGATGTTTGGTGGGGAGAAGGAGGCAGCTGGTGTCCCCTTGGGTAGGAGGGAAAGGGGGAAGGAGCTGAGGGTGCCTTTGGTGGGGAGACAAGGAGGGGTTGCTGAGGACCCCCCCCCAGCCCTTTGGTGGGAGGTAAGGGGGATGCTGAGACCCTCCCCAGCCCCCTTGGTGGGGCTTCAGGGGGTGCTGAGACCCTCCCCAGCCCCCTTGGTGGGGTGTCAGGGGATGCTGAGACCCTCCCCAGCCCCCTTGGTGGGTATCAGGGGGGATTGGCTTTGTGAGGGTCCCTTGGGGGCCAGGGGGGTGCTGAGCAGCTCCAGCCCAGGGTGGATGGAGCCCCTCCCTGGGCACAGGGTGGGAGATGGAGCCTCCATCTCCCTCAGAGCCACCCCAGTTTTTTCCAGCAGCCAGGCAGAACGATTCAGCCAACCATCTTGTCTGGGGAGGAAAAAGGGGCACCCCAGCCCCCCACCCCCATGATCCCACTGTGGTTTGGGAGGTCACCCAAGGGTTGGTTCAGCTTCCCAGCCCAACTTCTGCTCCAGCCCACGGGAGAGGAGCTTTTGTTTTCCCCTCTGAAACCTTCATCTTTTCAGAACATCCACCTTCTTCCTTAGCAGCAATCACCTGTAACCTTGACAGCCCCTCAGGATGGTGTGTGGGGATGGGCTGGGGGGGCTCTGAGAGTGCCCAGAGCCTGGCAGGAGGTGCTGGAGGAATTTGTTGTGGGGTGGGTGTGACAGTGCAGCTCCTCAGATGGATTGAGTCATCCCAGAATTAGCTCTGGAGTTTAATTAAACCTGAAGGTGTTGCCCAGCCTCCTCCTCCTCCTGCTGCTGCCAAGCAAGGAGCTGCTGAGGGTTGTGCCTGTCGTGGAGCTGGCAGGGTTGGGGGGCACCCCTGGGATACAGGGGGGGCTCCTGGGGAGGAGCTGGAGCTTGCCAGGAAGAAGGGACTGAAGAGGCTGCTGCCCTGTCGTGTTGGCTGCAGGTTGTGCTGGGGGAACTGGGTGACAGAACTGGTTTGTGGCAGGGAGAGGCATTTTCTTCAGGGTCAAGCTTGGTGTTCCTGAGGTGGCCTCGTGTTGCAGAAGATGATTCTCAGGTCCTGCCAGTCCCAGGCCCTGGAATTGCAGCCACAGAACTGGCTGTGGCTCCTCTTGCTGGGCTTGGGCTGCTCTGCCTGCTCTTCAGTGACAAGGTCCATCCCTTCACCTCCACCATTGTTCTCTCAAGCTCTTCTGAAGAAGTTTTTCCATCTCTTTTCCATAGCAAAGGGCATTTTTTAATCTTGTGTGGCAGCCTAGGAACATGGTTAAAGGCCTGGGGGCTGGATGGGGGCCCTGCTGGTGCTGGGCACCTCTCTGGGTGAGGCCACCATCTTCCCCCATGTTCTCTTTGCTTTTCCAGAGCCTTTCAGCCCCACAAAGGTTTAGAATCTTAAGAAAACTGTCTCTGCCTTCCTGAAAATGAGTCTTGACTTTCTCCCCTGCCTGGTTGGCCCTTTGCCCTGCTTGGGAGGTCCCAGCAGGATCTGACCCCTTTGGCACAGGGCTCTGGATGTGCTTCCAGGTTGGGTGAGGTGGACGTTCCAGCTGAGGAACAGCCTCAGGATCCCAGATCCCCCCTTTGTTTGATTCCCCTCCTTGTCTGGAGTCATCCCAGCACAACGTCCCACCCCTTGGGCACTTTTCAGCCTCCTGACCTCCCACCTCCCAGTGCCTGCCCTGTCCCCTGCCTATGGAATCAGCTGAGCTGCTGGATCCCAGCAGGACTTCCCTCCCATCACTTGGCACAGGGTGTCTTCTCCAGCTGCTGGGTGTTCACAGCTTGGCTGCTTAGTTGGGCTTTGGAGGTGGCTTTGAATCCCGGCCTGGTTTTGGGGGCAAAGGACCTTCAAGGTCACCCAGTCCCACCTCCTGCCATGGGCAGGGACACCTCCCAGCAGCCCAGGCTGCCCCCAGCGCCATCACCTGCCCTTCAACACCCCCAGGGATGGGGCAGCCACAGCTTCCCTGGGCAACCTGGGCCAGGCTCTCCCCACCCTCACAGCCCAGAATTTCTCCCTCCCATCTCAGCTCCAGCTCCCTCTGCCAGCTGGAAACCCTTCCCCCTGCTCCCATCCCTCCCTGCCCTTGTCCCAAGCCCCTCCCCAGCTTTCCTGGAGCCCCTTCAGGCACTGGAAGCTGCTCTCAGGTCTCCCTGGAGCCTTCTCTTCTCCAGGCTCAACACCCCAACTCTCCCAGCCTGGCTCCAGAGCTGCTCCAGCCCTCCCAGCATCTCTGGGGCCTCCTCTGGCCTCTCTCCAACAGCTCCATGTCCTTCCTGTGTTGGGGACCCCAGAGCTGTTCCCAGCCCTGCAGGGGGGTCTCAGCAGAGGGGACAATCCCCTCCCTGGCCCTGCTGGTCCCACTTGCAGGTGACACAACCCAGGACACAGTTGGTTTCTGGGCTCCAGCACATGATGCTGGATCACATTGAGCTTCTTCTCACCCAGCACCCCAAGTTCTTCTCCTCAGGACTCTTGGCCACCTCGAGCTCCACTGACACAACCCCTGCTCTTCTCTGCCCTCCCCTGGGAACACTTCCCAGGCTGTAAATCCATCTCAGCACAGCAGGAGCTGCCAAGGGAGCTGGGGCAGTGGCAGCTGAATGCTCCTGATCCAAAGGAAAGGCAGGGAGAGCACTGAGGAGCATCCAGAGTCAACACCTGAGGGAGACCATGGTGGGTCCTGACCCCCTTTCCACCCCTGGGGTGATTTTATTGCTGGTTTCTCACCAGAGTCCCGTGTTGCTGCCCCAGCAGGCAGGGCTTGGAGCTGCTTGCAGGCAGGAGGTGCTGATGTGAGTGGTTCCCTTGGAGCTCCACGTCCTCCCACTCAGCTCAGGGGAATCTGTCCCTGCCTCTCCTCAGCTCTCCCAGCACATCCATCTTTCTGGAGGCTTGGGATGTGTTCAGGGAGAGCCAAAGGGTTGGAAAAGTCCTCTTCCTGGCTCTTAAACAGCTGCAGGTCCAAGCTCATCTTGAGGGATGTTCCACGATGGGGAACCTGTCCTTCCAGAGCAAATCCCTTCAGCAGGTCCCTCCCTGAGCAGCCTGGGCTGGTGGGAGGTGTCCCTGCCCCTGCAGGGGATTGGAACTAGATGATCTTTAAGGTCCCTTCCAACCCAGACCATCCTGTGGTTCTGTGAAAGGTGTATTTAAAGGATGTTTTGGAGGCTGGTTTATTAGGAGCAGGGGTGGATACACGGGGGGGAGGAGGGAAGGAAGGAGACACACCTGATGTGTGCTTGGTTCCCTTTTCCTCTGGTGAAAGGAGGATTTTTACTTCCTAAAGCCAAATTTCTTCCCTCAGGATTGTTTGTGTCTCAGTGTGGCCTTGTCTGCTTAAAACAAAACCACTATTTGGGATTTTAAGCTGAGCAGGGGGTTGATGGTGGAAAGATCCTCCAGGAGGAGGGTTGTGATCAATGGGGCAGGGTCGAGGTGGGGCCTGTTAACCAGGGGTGTCCCCCAGGGGTTCATTCTCAGCCTGGTTTTGTTCAACATCTTCATCAATGGCCTGGATGAGGGGACAGGGTGTGACCTCATCAGGTTCACTGGTGACACCAAACTGGGAGGGGTGGTGACACTCCAGAGGGCTGTGCTGTCATCCATGGACCTGGACAGGCTGGAGAGCTGGGAAGGGAAAAACCTCATGAGGCTCAACAAGGGCAAGTGCAGGGTCCTGCACCTGGGGAGGGAGAACCCCAGGGACCAGTACAGGTGAGGGGAGGACCTGCTGGAGAGCAGCTCTGGGGAGCAGGATCTGGGAGTCCTGGTGGACAGTAAATGATCCATGAGCCAGGAATGTGCCCTGGTGGCCAAGGAGGCCAATGGGATCCTGGGGTGCATGAGGAAGAGTGTGGCCAGCAGGTCAAGAGAGGTCATTGTCCCCCTCTGCTCTGCCCTGGGCAGGCCACAGCTGGAGAACTGGGACCAGTTCTGGACTCCCCAGTTCAAGAGAGACAGGGAACTGCTGGAGAGAGTCCAGGGGAGGGTGATGAAGATGATGGGGGGATTGGAGCATCTTCCTGATGAGGAAAGGCTGGGAGAGCTGGAAGGTTCAGCCTGGAGAGGAGAAGGCTGAGGACAGACCTTGTCAGTGCCTGCAGGTATCTCAGGGTGGGTGCAGGAGGATGGAGCCAGACTCTGCTCAGTGGTGCCCAGGCCAGGATGAGGGGCAATGGGCACAGGCTGGAACATGGGAAGTGACATTGAAATAGGAAGGAAAACTTCTTTAGGGTGACAGAGTCCTGGGACAGGCTGGGCAGAGGGGGTCTGGAGGCTCCCGCTCTGGAGACTTTGAAGACCCCCCTGGATGCAGCCCTGTGGGATGTGCTCCAGGAGATCCTGCTTTGGCAGGGGGTTGGACTGGGTCTTCCCTAGAGGTCCCTGCCAACCCTGACAGCTCCATGATTCCATGAGACTCTGTGTTTCCCTGCACCTCCAGTGCTGGCAAAGCTGGTGGTTGTGTCCTGAGGGGAGATGCCTGGGGTGATGGAGCTGCAGGAAGGGGAAGCTGCTTGGTTTATTATTTATGATTGGTGGGTTTTGAGGCTTGTAGCTCCAGGTCTGGGTGTGTCAGGTGTTTGAAAGGCTGGTGGGCAAATGGGAGCTCCCAGTTTTGGCCTCTGTGCTTTGTGGGATCAGATGTAGGATCAGAGCTGTTGTCCCTGGGCCTCTCCTCCCCCTGCCTCTGGGGCCACACAGGGCTGCCCAGGGATGGACCCAAGCTGAGATTATCTGGATTTCTCAGCCCTGACCTGGGCTGGGAGTGGCAAAGTCTCTCAAAGGGCTGGGGGTGGGTTCAGATTTAATGTGCTGGGCTTCTCTGGAGCTGCCCTTGGGAGAGCTCTTCCCTGGAGCATCTCAGCTCTGACAGCCCCTTCTGCTCCAGCTGAGCTCAGAGCCTCTGCTCAGGCTGCTGGTTTGCACCTCACTGAGACATCAGTCAGGTCCTGCAGCTCATTGAGTGAGAAAAGCTCCACATTAAGGCTGGGGGCCTCATTTCTCTGGTTCCATGTGCACCACAGCACAGGGGGGCCTTTCCCTCTTATTCTACAGGGGATTTCTCAATTTTCCTTCTGTGTGTGTGTGTGTAGCCCCCAGCACAAGGACAGGGAGTCCCTGGAGAGAGTCCAGAGGAGCCCCGGAGATGCTGGGAGGGCTGGAGCAGCTCTGGAGCCAGGCTGGGAGAGTTGGGGTGTTGAGCCTGGAGAAGAGAAGGCTCCAGGGGGACCTGAGAGCAGCTTCCAGTGCCTGAAGGGGCTCCAGGAAAGCTGGGGAGGGGCTTGGGACAAGGGCAGGGAGGGATGGGAGCAGGGGGAAGGGTTTCCAGCTGGCAGAGGGAGCTGGAGCTGAGATGGGAGGGAGAAATTCTGTGCTGTGAGGGTGGGGAGAGCCTGGCCCAGGTTGCCCAGGGAAGCTGTGGCTGCCCCATCCCTGGGGGTGTTGAAGGGCAGGTTGGATGGGGCTTGGAGCAGCCTGGGCTGCTGGGGGGTGTCCCTGCCCATGCAGGGGTGGGACAGGATAACATTTAATTTTCCTTGCCCCCAAACCAGTCTGAGATTCTGTGATTCCAGAGCTTCCCCAATAAATGCTGCAAAAGCCCCAAGAGCTTCAGTTCCCTGACAAGCAGAGGTGTCAGTCCCTGATCTGGAAATCCCAGTTTGCCTTTTAGCTGCAGGAAAGAACCTGCTGGGTGTTTGTGTTCTTCCTGAGGGCTGGGTTTTGGCAGCCAAGTATCCTCCTGAGCTGCCAGCTGCTCAGGCAGCTTTGTTTGCTGGTGTTTGCCAAGGTACAAGATCTCTCTGGGGACACACTGGCAGCTTGCTGGAAGCCTGTGGACTGCACCACTCCAGAGAACGGGGCAGAAACACTCCTCTTGTTTCTTCACTGATAAATCTGGGAGGGGGAGATAGGTTTTTAGGTCCTGCTCAGTGTGGGCAGAGCCAGAGGAAACCGAGTGCTGGGCTGGCACCCTCAGCAGCTTTGGCTAAACCTGTCAAACAGACAAGGTTTGTGCCTCTCTGAGTCCTCAAAGAGCAAAATTAATGTCAGCTCCTCCTGTTGGAGCTGCTCCTTGTCTGGTTTGGAATTGCTGGAGTGCCAGATTTCCATGACTAACTCCATGGCTAATTAGAAAAAGCCTCTCTAAAAAAAAAAAGCAACAAGGAGAGCAAGCTCAGAGCCCTGGTGATGTTATTTTTGTGCACAATCTGAATGGGGCTGAGAGGTGAGAGTCCTCTTGGCTTTTCTCCCCTCTCCAGTCTATTCTCCCTGGGCAGATTTGTCCCTTCAAACCTCCCAGCCTGGAGCAGGGGCACCCGAGGCAGCTGCTGCTCCCTTTGTGTGGCAGAGAAGTGGAATTCCAGAGGGCTCAGGCTGCCTGCCTCACTCCAGCAGAGCCCTTGAAAACCCTGTTCCTGGCTGCCCTGCAGATGCTGGGAGCTCCTGGTGGGAAGTGAGCCTTGGTGGGACAGGGAATAGCTTTTCCTTTCAGGAGCTGAGAGGGCTTCAGATCCAGATCATGTTGTTGTGCTGATGGGACTTGCAGGTTCAGGATCTTACTTAAATCTCGTTGCTCAGCAGGAGGGAGCCCTTTGGGGTGTTGGTTTAACATGGTTTTTTCCACCCGAGGTCTCTGCTAAGCATAAATTCTGTTCCCCTTCTAGAAGAGACAAGTGGTTTTGGTGCTTCATGAGCCTGAAGTGTTACATTGAACCTGAAGTGTTAGTAGAAACCACACTCTTCTTTGCTGGGCTTCTGTTTTGTCCTTCAGCTTCTCTGAGCTTGGCAAAAAAAATAAGCCCCCAACTTAGTGCCTGGCAGCCTGACCCCCTCCCACTGGTTCTTACTTGCTTTCCTTCAAGTGAAACCTTGTCCTGCAGCTTCAGGTGGGCTCTGGGGACCTGGGCATGGAACCTGGTGGCATCTGGCAGGTCCTTTGTGCCCGTGGAGGAGCAGGGTGATGTGGGATGAGGAAAAGCAGAGCCTGGGGGTTGTCCAGGTTGCTGTGGGGGTTGTTGGGGGTACAGGAGGGATTTGGGGTGAGTGTTGTGAAGGGCTTGGGGGTCCTCAGCTGTTTAGTTCCCCTGCATTTTGGTTTTGCTGACCCTCCAGGAGGGCAGGGAAGAGGAATGATCCCCTTGGGATGTGTTCCTTTCCCCTGGCCCCACTGGAAATGGGGGCACTGGGGTCCAGCAAAGCACCTTGACTCCCCTGAATTGGACGTGAAGCCTCTGGGCACGTGTTTGTTGCCCAGGGAGAAGGGGTGACCCTGCTGGTTCAAAGCAATCAGCTGCCAGGAGATCAGCAGGACTGACCTGAGGGACGTCTGCCCTGATGGCATCAACCCCCTGGTTTTGCAGATCAAAGCTCTTCCAGGTCTCATCCAGCTGCTCCCTGGGTGGGGAGGAAGGTTGTTGCTCTGAATCTCTGCATCTTGGCACGAAATCTCTGAAACTTCAGTTCTCCCTTAACCTTCTGCCCACCAGAACTTGGCCACCAGCACTTGGACACTGACTTCATTTCTGCTCTGGCCTCTCTGTGACTTGAATGGCAGGGAACATGGAACTTCTTGTATTTTTTTATTATGTGGAGAGGATCTTTGCAGCAGAGAACTCAAGAGGCTCCTCAGCTGTGTGGTGAGAGCAAGAGCTGCCCTGGTGCCACCTACAGCCTGGATCTGTGGAGAAAGCTCCATTGTGCCCTGGAACTTGGGAGAGCTTGGTGGGTGTGTGAGGGAGAGCATGGGCTGTCATTCCTCAGCTGGGGAAGAGGTTGGAAGGGAATTCTGAGGGATTTGTGGTCAGAAAGGATGTTTTGCAAGCAGTGGGGCTGGCTTGTTGCTGGTAAACAAGGTCTTGTGCCTTAAAAGGCCCCTAAAATGATAGATCATAAGACAGGACAGAAATTCTGGGCTGTGAGGGTGGGGAGAGCCTGGCCCAGGTTGCCCAGGGAAGCTGTGGCTGCCCCATCCCTGGGGGTGTTGAAGGGCAGGTTGGATGGGGCTTGGAGCAGCCTGGGCTGCTGGGAGGTGTCCCTGCCCATGCAGGGGGGTTGGAACTTGATGGTCTTGAAGGTCTTTTTCTTGTGAAGTGACAGCAGCAGGATCCCTCACAGGTAGGAAAGCCTATAGATTTGGTCAGAAGAAAGGGAGATGGTTTGGCTCTGGGGACAGGGGGCACTTGTTCAGAAGATGTGGCAGGATGAATGGATGGGACACACAAGGTGTCTGCTCCTCCTTGGGATTATTTTTCATCTTGTGCAGGAAAAGCAGGAATTGTCATTGGCCAGCAGCAAGAGGTGTAGCTGTTCCTTCAGGGTTTGCTGTGTGGACACAATGATGGCTTCTAGAGCAGAGATTCCAGCTCAGACACCTCCCTGAGGGCCCTCAGCTGTTACAGGAGCAATTTTAAATCAGGGAATCACAGGTTTTGTCTTGTCCAGCACCAGGAAATCACTCCCATTCAGCTGGTGGAATCACAGCCCAGATAAGCACTTGGCTGCTGCAGCCCCATGGGTCTCTCTGCTCCCAGGACCCAAGTCTTCTCCTCCCCATTCCCCTGCCACCACAGCAGGGAATCCTTCCCTTTTTTTATAGGGCACACCTGGTTGATTTCCCCAGGCAGCAGGGCAGGTGAGTGCTGCCAGCAGCACAAGGGCAGCACTGGAGCTGGGTGGCTTCAGTCCCACCCCCCCTGCTGAGGGGGCCTGGGGAGCTCAGCTTTCTCCCTGCAGGTGACCAAAACCCCCTCTGGTTAATCCAAACCCTTCCTGGCTTGTTGAGGATCATCCCCAGAGCAGTTAATCTGTCCAAGGGAACGTTCCCCAAGGTGAAACCCTTGGGGACATCCTGCTGAGGGAACAATCCTGTCCCTTGGAGCTGCAGAGCTCCAAGGATGGTGCTGCCCAGGCACAAGGTATTTCATCCCTGTGATGAG